AAATGGATTTCTCTAGGCCTCTCCTGGAGGAATGAAACCCGTGAAGTTCACTTCGTTTTGCTGCTACCAGCTCCAAATTTGCTCACCTCTGGTGCAGGTTCGAGAGAGCCCTTCTAGAAGTTGGGTGTGGCTGTGGGGCTGCCCCAGCCCTTCTTCTGTGGCCACTCCATTCTTGAAAACCTCTGTCTGCAGGCTGTGCCTAAACTACTCAGGAGGGGAGGCCTGAGTCTCTCGGTTTTTATTTATTTCAGAAAAAAAATTCATATTTGAGGTCCCTAAGGAGGAGGCTCACATGGTCAGTCATCTTGCAGTGCTGCATTAAAAAAAAAAAAAGGGGGCAAATTATAAAAGCAATACATGCAGTAGAGAAATGCATAAAAACAGAAGAAAAATCACCAAGAATCTATTCACCCAGAACAACTAATAGTTTTTTTTTTGGGGGGGGCACATTTGGGGGTAATTTTGGGCTACCACCTTCCGGTTCTTTTTCATTGGCTCTAGTCATGGAAAGTATTGGTAAAGAACAGTGTCTACCCTCTCTCCCGCATACCACAAACCCCCAGAGCCAAGCACATATATGCTCTGTCTTGAAGCCCAGCAGTCTACCGGGAAGTAAGCTTTATCCTTGGCCTTTTGCAAAAGGCGCTGACTTTTATTTGTCTTTTAATATCTACAATTTGACAAACTCCTCTATGCAAAGGTTGAGGCTGCACCCAGAACTCAGGATTTGGGGAAGCAGGGTGATCCTGAAACTGGCATCCTGTGTGGGAGAAGTCCAGAAGTACACAGGCAGCCAGGGCATACTAGTCCCCACTTCCCAACCCCAGAATCACGACATCCGGCAGAGACCCCCAAGCATCCAAACCAGAGGCAATGCGGGTATGAATTGTGTTTGGATAAGTGACCAGAAATAAAAAGCCAGCCCCTCATACAAGCCCTTAAACGCTAAAGAGGTCAGACTTTGTTTTGAAGGCAAAATCAAATTCCTGAGAGGGGCGCCTGGCTGGCTCAGTCAGAGCAGACGACTCTGGATCTCAGGGTTGTGAGTTCAAGTCCCACGCTGGGCGTAGAAAACTTCTTTAAACTTCTTGAGGCGTTGTTACTCTCAGAGCAACAGGTCAGGGTGAATTCTAGAAGAGCCGATGTCATTCCATGCCCCCAAAAGATGGGACTATTGTTTATTTGGTAATTTCCCCCAAATCCTTGACTGTTTGAGGTCCAATCTCTCACCTTATAGGAGGCAGAGAGACTGTACCTGACAACGACCAGGTGTCTCCACCCCAAAATAAATTCATGGGAAGAACCTCTGAATGCCCTGCTACTTCTCTGATCTTGGCTGAGGCCTATGGCGGGGAATGGTAGGGGGGTTCAGAGAAGCGTGATTTTGACAGGTTGGAATTGCCAGAGGCTGGCACTGGAATTAGTGATTAGGAAGGCGCGGCCTCATTGCAGCCACTCGTGGGAAGTGTGGAGGGGGCCTCAAGAGATTTCTGAGGAATACTATCATTTTAGGGGTACCCGGAAGACTGGGAAAGTCTGCCGCTCAGGGGATGCTATTTTGTAAAAGCTGGCAGTGTGGTTTTTGAGAAGAGAGTGCATTTACCCATGGTTGGGAGATTGATATAGAGGACCTTGTCTTCATTTCCTGGCCAAATCTTAGGACATTTGTACACTTGCCCACAAGTATGTACATGTGGATAGGAGACTGCTCACACAGCTTTTGAGGGTTCCCAAGTATGAATTAAAAAAAGAAGAAAAATGTGTGCTTTGAATTAGATCTATGTGAAAAAAAAAAAAAAAGGCAACAGGCTAAGCCATGCGTCTGGGACACTGGCTCTCCTCCAGGGCTCTTCAAGAGAGCTGGGTTTCGGCATGTACAGAAAGAAAACGAGTCATTTCTCAAACCTGGATTTCCTTGTCTGTTTTGCCCTATTGATATCAATCTGAGCCCTCAAATTGTCCTTTTTTGAGCAAGGAAAGCATGCACGACATGGCTCAGATTGAGAAACAGTTTGGATCCAAATATTACCATAGATTTGGCTCTTTCAAGTTATTTCTTCCATTGCTTTGGACCAATAAATATTTAAAAAGTTAGGTTCTGAGCTCCAGAAAAGCCAACAAAAACATTTAAACATATGGATATCTTTTTTTATTGTGGTTAAAACCATGCTCAGTAGAGATTAGTTTACAGCAGTGTTTTCTTTCTCTCTTTGCTTTTTCCCCTCTATCTTCTCTTTCTTTCTTTTCTTTTCTTTCTTTCTTTCTTTCTTTCTTTCTTTCTTTCTTTCTTTCTTTCTTTCTTTCTTTCAGGAAGCCAGAAGGATAAACATGTTGCCATGGTGTTCTGTTTAAAATAAAATACAATGGAAAGAAAAGCAGAATGATGAAGTAACCACATGGACTGCAGGATACACCTGATACTAATTACTGTCATGCAGAATGTTCTGGAAGACATTTGACTCGCCTGATGTATACATTCAAATCAAGCAAAGCAGGACTGGAAGGCTCCTTGGGGACCATCTTGTCCAACTCTTTCCTTTTTCCAGATGAGGAAATAGGGGCCCAGGGAGAGGCCTGGACCTCAGCCTCCCAGCTAGGAGGGAGCAGAGAGGGGATTCAACCCCCCGGGGCGCTTTTGTCGGAAACACATAATTTCCAGGGTCCTTTACCTTGGCCTGTCAGTAAGACCCTGGAAAAGAGGAGTGGGCTTTACCGTTAAACTCTGAGCACAGGGCTTTGGAGCCAGAGAGCCCAGAAAAAACGCAGAGAGGCTGATTGCGCTAGGAGGCCCAACTTTCCTCCTGGGCGCCAGGCCCTGAGAAGAGATGCGCATGGATGTCTGGAGTTTCTCCTTCCAGGGCCTCCCGGGGGCACCCAACCAAGGTCTGGGGCTCCTCCCAGAGCATCAACTCATGTCCTTTTGGGGCTGCGGGGCCCACGCCAGGAGGCACTGTCTCCATGACGGCCTCCAGAGGCCCCGAATGCGTGGCTACTGACGCTCTCTGGTGGCCGCCTGGGCGCCCACGCAGGCCTCCCACGCGTGGAGGGCGAGCTGGAGCCCCCGTGACAATGCGCACCCCTCGCCTCTGCCCCCGAGAGGCTAGCAACCGGGCCTGCCTGCGTCTGATTGGCTGCGCAGGCCTGACGACAGGGGCTCCTGGACGCTGATTGGTCCCGGCCCGCTCCGGCTGTTTCCTAGCTATTAATACTGAGGCTAATAAACGTTCTCCTGTTGACAAGGATGCTCGGAGCCATGATTTTTTGAAGCTTTCTTGACGTCTGCGGCTGGCGCAGGCCTTTCTGTCTCGCAAGTCCTGCTGGGGGACTCGAGTCTCTGGGGCTCCTTGCGTGCTCCCCAGGCTGCAAAGTGGGCGCTCTCTTCCCGCATCCCATTATCTGACACTTTGGGGTGGCCCCCCGCCATGCCCCCCAAAGCCCACTCTGTCGTCTCCCCGGCTGCGCGCCTGCTCGCCTCTGAACGAGCCCCCCGCCCGAGCTCGGTGTCTCTCGTGACCCGGTGGTCCACTTGCAGCTCCCTGCAGCCGTCCCTCGTGAGCTTTCCAATTGCCCGGTTCCTTCTTTTCAGCCCAGGAATCTCCTGCCCCTGTTGAAAGCCGCCTCGTAGGACCGCTGGGCCTGGAGGTGGGGGGGGGGTGCTCTGAAGCTGCTTCGGGACCCCCCCACCCCCCCCCCAAAAAAAGGAAGAGCGGGAGGAGCCGTTCTAACCTGATAGTCCCCGCAGGCCCCTCTGCCTTGCCCCTTTGGGACCCATCACTCATTCTCACCCCTCTCCTGTCACTAGGCGCTTCATCCTTGCCCTCCCGGCTGCCACCCACCTGTCACCCTAAGATAGATCCTTAGTCCCTTTCAACAGCATTTTGACCTTTTCGAGAGGACATTTGATTGACGGCCCTGCCCGCTTTGCCACTCAGTGCCCGGCAGAGCTGCCGAAGGCGCCACCTGTTACGGATTAACATGTGCCAAGTCCCGGAGCACGAGGCCGTGCAGCTATGCTCTGCCGCAACATGTGTCGCTGCCTGTTTCCCCGGGGCGGCACCGGGAGGCGGGGGCGCTTTTCAAAGTGTCTCTGTTGGGGAAATCACCTCCATTTTTTTGGGGGGGTACCCCATTGCATCTCCACGTGGGACACAGTCCTCCTCGAAAAGTACTTTCCCTAGAGCAGGACACGGCTCATGTCTATATTATTATTAGGACCGCGGTTGGCGGGGGGGGGGGGGGGGGCGGGTACCCTCTTGCTAACGTGTAGGAAACGGACCCCCTGGCCGCGGAAGGGACGTTGCAAGGTTCTCGTGCACAGGTTGTCAGCGGCAAAGCCCGGGACTCCAAAACCCGGTTTTTCTGACTCGGAGATGCTATGCTGCGCCGAGTGTTCCATGTCAAAGATAACCAATCAGAAATGGACGGGTGGGCTAAAAGGGGGTGACAGCCGCCCACTTACATTCGGGCACCGCTTATCTCGCTCGGGGCGTTTTATTTTCCGGGGCAATAAGCAGAAAGCATCATTTTCTGTTCCTAAGGCGCATCCCCCGGTGGAGGTTCCGAAACAGTCAGGTGTGTGCGATCTGCTGCCCCCAGCGCCCCAGCTTTACCCTCGGCCCGCCTGGGGGAAAACCACCCCTTGTCCGGTTCTCCCAGCAAATTGTGCAGCCCGATCGCCGCGCTGGGCGAGTGGGGCTCGTGGGGCTCGTGGGGCTCGTGGGGCTCGTGGGGGTCGTGGGGGTCGTGGGGGGGGGAGAAAGCACCAGCGAACGCAGGGTGTTGGTCATGGCGGCGAGGGGCACTGCGGCAGATTTTTTTCCTCCCTTCTTTGCTGCAATCTGGGTGCGGCTAGAGCAATTTGTCATAGAATCTGGGGGGCTCATTTTTCCGGCCAATCACTTTTGGAGAAATGAGCGCATTGCAGCAGAATGCGCTGACGTCAGAGACCACCCCTTCTGCGCCTCCATATAAACCCCACCCAGCCAGCCCCTAGCGCAGACGGCGGAGAGCGGAGATGGAGCGCGCCTTGGCCGCGCTGGCCTCGGCCGCAGCTCCTCGGGAGAACCGGGGCGCCCACGCGAGAATCTCCCCACCTGGTGAGTGGTCGGCCATCCTTGCCTGCAAGGATGTGCAAATGCAAGACGACATCCCTTCGAGGTTGGGCTCTGTCCTCCTGGACACGCCGATGACAACGCCGGGGACCTCCTCCCGAAGGCGGCCACCTCGCCTGGTCCCCGAGCGTCGGCGACGAAATTGGGCCAGACAGGGAGATCTCGAGGCACATCTTCCCGGGGGGGCGAATCAGGGCCCTTTTCTCGTGCAGCCCCTTAGCTCTGCGGGTGCAGGCTGAGTGGTGGGGGCTTCGATGGAGGCGAAGGGGAGGAATCCGACCGGATGGCTGTCACGACCCGGTGTGCCGCAGCCACTAAGTGGTCCAGACCCCAGATTTTCGGTGCACGAAGCCACCCTGAGGATCACGGCTGGTGGGAGATATGGCGGCGGGTGCATTCCGCGTGGCCCACCAGTTGGAGGGGGGAGCACCCAGGAGGAAGCGTCTCCCAGGTAGACAGCCCCCCTGATACCTGGCCAGGTTCTGGGTGGCCCGTAGGCGAGAGGGGTACAGGTCGCCGTCCGCGAGGGGTTGCGAATCCAGACACCCAGGGTCAGTGCCCAGCGGGCTGCAGGCGGAGCGTGGAGGGAAATCGCTGCGAGCATCTGCCTGGCGCCCATCGGTCGCCCTGATGGTGGGGAGAGATGGCGCCCAAGTGCCGACCTGCCGGGAGCCCCCAGGACCAGTGCGTGGAGAAGGGCGGCGGGGCGCAGGGTCGGTCCTCGGGGCACTGGCAGGAGAGAAGCAGGGGGTGGGCCGGGGTGGACGGAAGGCCGCGGCCGGGGCGCGGGGGGAGGCGCATCCAGAGGGAAGGGAGAAATCCTGAAAAGGGGGCGTGTTGGGGGCTGTCCAGGCGCCGGGAGTTGGGAACCGGGGGTCGGGGGTCTTCTTTGCATGGCGTGACGGTCGCTAGAAGGTTCTGACATGTTGCGGGCTTTTGACTTTTGACCAAGTCGTCTTTTGCCGTTTCCTTTGTCCCTGTCAAGCCCCCCCACGCCGCCCCCTCCCCACTCTGGGCTGGCGGGCTCCGGGAGGGGGGGCGCGAGCGGGCTGCTACGTGGCAGGTTTCTGGAAGGTTCTCTCGCCGGCCGCCAGAGGGCGCTGGCGGCACTGCGGAATTTTGGGGGGCGGGGTGGCGAGGGGAGGTGGCCTTTGTTCTTCTGCTGGAGGGGGTCGAGCGCGGGATTTCCTGGAGAATTCTGGAATCATGTACCCGAGGGGGAAGTGTTTCAAGATCCTGGGGTTCACGGGGAGCAGCCGGGCAGGGATGCCGCGATCCGCACTGGCGGCGTGACTTAGGGTGTCGTGGGGGAGCGTGCACGCACATTAGTGCATCCCAGTCGGTTTGGGTTTTGGGGGGCGGGGGTCTCAGGAAAGGTGTGGCTCATAGGAGCAGGATAGAGAGGTCATAAAATCCTTAATTAGATGCCGTAGCACGAGGTCTTGAAATTCTGGCTGTGGCCAAGGAGGGAGGTGAGATGGCGCGGAGGGGCGGTGGGGGGGTCCACGGTGCTCTGGAGGATTTTTGCTGGTTTTGGTTGCCTCTATATTATTATTTATTTATTTTTTTTAGCGATATGTTTTGTATCATGTGTCCCAGAGGCCGCACAAATGAGTGAAAAACGGTGTATCGAGAACTGGGCCTTTACAATTCTAATTAATTTACGCTTAATTGGATGTACCGAAAGGTCAGAGCCCAGATTTCGGTGTTTTTACTTATTAAAAGTGGAATCGTGTTCTGGAAAGATCCTATGGCGAGTGCCTTCTTGATGACCTCCCGTGTCTCTGATGCGGGCTGACCCCCTCGGCTGGGGGTGCGGAAGGCCCCCGGGCCTGTGTTGGGGGGCGCTGCTCCAGGTCCACAGGTGGATGCTGGCACGCGACGGCGTGCGTGGTGTTTCGGGAACATAGCGGCCCTGCGCGAGGTGCTGGTGTGGGCTGTGGCCTCCCCCGCCCCCAGCCTGAGACCTGTTGTGCGCCCCCCCCCCCCCCGCCCATTCGGTGCCAGCTGTGCCCCTGGCAGCTGCGGGCCGGGCGCTGCGGGGGCGCGGGGGGGCTCTGCTGTGCGCGTGCGCGCGCGCCGCAGGTGGCTGTGCTCCGGAGTCCTGGGTGCCGGCCGCGCGCCCCCTAGCGGTCTGTGCTTGCAAACGGTTCTTGGCCCGCTAGCCCTGACTTCGGGTTGCGCATGCGCACACAGTTAACACTTGTGCCCTGTCAATCAAGTCTTCCTTACCCCCTCCCACTTCTCTCCCTCCTCCCCTTTTCAGTTCTTTCTTCCTACTCCTCCCATTTCTCCTCTTCTCCTCTTCCCCCCTCCCCTCTCGTTTTCCTCTTCCCTCCTTCCCCTCCCCTTCATCTCCCCTTCCCTCCTTCCTCCTCCCCCTCCCCTTCCTCCTCCTTCCTTTCCCTCCCTCTTCCCTCCTAACTCCTCCCCTCTCCCCCTCTTTCCCACTGCTCCCTCCCTCTCGCTCTGACTGTCCCCTCCCTCTCTCTCCCTCTGACTGCCCCCTCCCTCCCTCTCGCTCTGACTGCCCCCCTCCCTCCCTCTCCCTCTGACTGCCCCCTCCCTCCCTCCCTCCCTCCCTCTCTCTCTCTGCTGTTCCTGTGCTGACCATTAGAGGTCATCAAGATGGTTTCTAATCTGGCCCCCTTCCCCTGCCATAGGGTGTCTTCAGGGATGACATCATCCGTTCACCTCCTTGTCTTCAAGGACCACCTCTCGATGCCACGCTGCTGCCAAGGTGCTTGCTGCTCACCTCCACCTGATGGTACTTCAGCCCCTCTTTGTGGCAGTGTGTAACCCAACGGGACAGGCAAAATCCCCACCCCTGCCACCCTCCTTGCACCACCCCCAGACCCATTAGTAATTAAAAGACCATTTTAAATTTTAACTGATTAGTTTTGGTTGTAATTAATTCAGTTAAATTTTAATTACTACCTACACTTGGGTTTTTAAGTAGGTGCTCTAACCTTTGATCAATTACAGAGGACAGTAGGAGCTCCGACCCCTGGATGGCACCAGTATACCAAGCAGCCACTGGCAGAGACCCCCCCCCCCGCCCCGGGGACGAGGATGACGAAGGATGAAGAGGACCAGAACCAACCAGCCAGCTCTCCCTCTTGGCTGAATGCTTAAACCAATGCCCTAGTGAGGGGGCATTGGTCATTAACCCTTGACCTTTGCTATGCTTATGCCTTGATGCTATGAATACTTTCCTATAAGTCTTTGCTTGTGTTTATGTGCCAGCGACCTGGAGTGTTTCCCTCCCCAACCAGTTGTCAGTCTTTCTCCCATGACAACCCTGTGGTTGCCCGTATGATGGCCTGAACGGAAGGATCCCTTTGGGAACTTCTCAGGAGGGGGACCTGGGCCAAGGGCTTGACCAGCATCTCACTGGCAATTCCAAGGCCCAGGGTGGGCTTCTGGAATGAGCATGAGCCCCGATGCCATGCTACCGAACTGCCAAGGGCATCCCTACCTCTTCTGAGATCTCCCTGTCCTTTCTGGGGAATGGGGACAAGAAGAGCAGCCTCCCAGGGTTGTTGTGAGTATTGAATGAGATAAAACTGCCTCAGGCAGGGCTGGGCATAGAGGAGGTGGTAAGCAAATGTCTGTTGAAAAAGTTGCGTAGGTCAGTCCCTTCCCACCCCTGTCACCCTTGTCTCATGCTTCTCGTTTATTCTCCCACAGCGCTCCAGGCAGCCCTTGTCCGCGGGGCTCTCCTTCAAGCAGGTAGGGGTCACCAAGATGGGCGTTGGGCTGACCTGAGTAGGAACATGAATCGTGCATGTGGTCATTTCCAGAGCACTTTCTGTGTTCTACAGGCGTCTTATTTCCATGTCGTACGTACACACGAACAAAGCAGCCTCATTTACAGATGAGAAAGGGTTCAACATTGATTTGAGGGATTTTAAAAGGTTCGGGGGTAGGGGGAGGAGGATGTTAGGAGAAGCAAGTGCCCTTCCCGTGGCATGGGACACGTTCACATTCACAGCAGGGGCGCTGAGGTTGGAGGAGTGTAAGTGTTTGGTCGCATTGTTGGCAAGAGAAGGGGTCAGAGTTGGACCCTAGTGCCCTTGTGGCTGCACCGTACCCTCTTGGCCCAGAGTTCTACTAAGAGCCCTTTGATTTCCAATCAGACATTTGACAGTGGGATAATCTGTTTGAAATCCCAGCTGTGTAGCGTGGTCTCGGGGGTGTGGGTGGCCCCGGCGCTGGTGCCTTGTGCTGGTTCCACCTTTCAACTACGGTGTGACCTTAACCAAGTCACTTAACTTCTCCAAACCCCAGTCCTTTTCATGGGCTAAATGGGGATTAAAAAAAAAAAAAAAAAGCAAGCAGTCCCGTTTACCCCACAGGGAGCTTTTGAAGACCAAATGATGTAACCACTATGAAAGTGCTTTGTAAATCGCTGTGGAAATTGCTAGATACTTAACTCCCGGGGATCGCGCCTCGAAGTGCACATGCCCAAGCCTATTCTCCCTCAGTAATAACGGCACCCAGTAGGTGCTGTGTGTGTTTGCGCTCAATAAATAAATTCCAGAGTAAATAAAAGCAGAATTAATTCAACAAACATTTTCTGGAACGCCGACAATATGCCCAGCACACCAGGCCTGGTATGTGATCCAAAGATGATGAAAACAGTCTCCTGGAAGCTAATTGGGGTCCTCATTCGACCCGCACTTTCTTTCGTCCCCTTTTAAGCCAACCAGTTTTGTCCGGACAAGACAAAAACAACTCTGGCGCTTTAGAGAAGCCCAGCTCGGTGGAGACAATAGCTCCCGGGCATCTGAAAGGGGCTGATTGGATTATGTGGCAAATAGAAGGTGGAAGGGTGACTTGGAAGGTGACAAATGAAGTGGGCGGAGAGCTGCTTTGAGTTAATCCAGGCTATTAGGAGGGAACCTTTTGTCTTCCAGGGGCTGGCAGGAGCTTTTACCACTGGTTTTTACATCCTTAATGTAAGGACGCATAATTTATGGTCAGTGAAAATCCAGGCCCCGGTGAGATTTGAGTGGGCTGTAAAATTGAGCGTCCTGCTACCAGTGAGTAATTATAGTGAACATTTATGTCTCCCTTTGCAGTCCGCAAAGGCCTTTTGCAACCATGGATTCATTTGAACCTCACAACTCCCTGTCCCGATCCCGGGGCTGGCCTGCCACCTCCAAGGGGAATAGAGGCCATCAAGCTGCTCTTCCGATTGGGGTCCCATGGCACATTTGCACCCCTGTCACCTCTTGGGTAGCGAAGGAAGAGGTGTCCTCTGCGCCGGTCTGTCCTGTTTCAGACCTGTTCCTCCCACCACTAGTTCTTCCCTCTCGATTCCTAACTTTGCTCTCTCCTCAGCCAGGAGCCTCTCAGGCCCCGCCGCCCCCTTTCCCAGCCACTACAGCCTGTCTCTTTCCTTTCGCAGCCAAGCTTCTCGAAAGGCCTGTCTACACTTGCTGTCTTCCTTCCTCATCTCCAATTTCCTCTTCAACCCACTGCTTCCTGACTTGTTCTGCTCCGTTGAACGACTCTAACTCAGGTAATGACTTTTCTGTAGCTTAACTCTGGACACGTTTCCAGCACATGGACACAGACACATGAGGACACATGGACACATTTTCATTCTTTGCCCTCACATGGCTTTCGGCTCTGGATTCCTCCTGTTGACCCCTGCTCCCCAGATGCTTCACAGAATCACCTACTCCTGGCTTCCCTCATTCTTGGTTTCTCCCAGGCGCTGGAGCATCCATAGCTCTTCTCTCTGGGAGTCGACTTCTTACCATCTTGCCAGGTTTGAGGCCTGGCTAAATCACCTGGTGTTGAGGCCTTGGGGTTAGTCAGTTTTGCCAAGCCACTCTTTTCTCAGTTATGGAATAGGGTTAATGATCTTTACCTGGCAGGTCAGGTGGGATGTGTTGCAGGTAAGAACCAGACACTACCTGAGGGACTTGAAATAAGGTCAGTAAAGTGTTCGTGAGAAAATCGGAGTCCCCATCAGCTTTTCCTACAGGTTAAGTTCCCACGGGGAGAACCAAAGAGGGAAGAAAGATGTGGGCGTGGGGGGAGGGGAGCAACAGAGAAAGAAAAAAAGAAAAAGACCAGTAGGAAAAGACACTAGAGGCACCAAAAGGTGGGGAAGGGAGCCTTAGAGAATATTAAAATCTACGAAAACCCAACCAGAGAAAGGTTTCCTCTTGGGTCGGGCTGAAAGAAAGTAAACAGGAAAAAGATGTTAAATTGATTATTCCAGTGACAAATCCCAGGAAGCTTTCAAATCAAATTGCCCCATTTTGGGTTTTTAACTCCTTCTATCAAGTTTAACCTCTTTACCTCCTGCATCCTGGCTAAACCCTCCCCAGCCCCCCTCACTGGTGATTAAGTCCTGAAGGTGCACGCAGCCTTTCAGCGAATGAATGGCCAACAGAAAGCGCCCTCCCCCTCCCCCGCCAGCTGTGGTTTTCAGTTTTATTCCACTTTCCGCCCTTTCCCCTTAATGAACACAGGGCTAATCTTGGGCCTTGTCAAGGAAGAGGCTGCAGACGTTAATGAGGTAGCTGCTGGATTCCAATATTCGTCTCATAAGGAGCCCTTCTTTGTCTGTGAAGGAAAAACACACTGATTATCATAATGAGGTGAACTGGCGTCCGCAGGCAGGGGCGACCAGGGGCGACTGGTGCTTAGGCCACACTTCTAATTCTGGTGCTGGAGCCCGGGTTTCATTTGCTCTTCATTTAAGTCTTTGCCTCTGTCCCAGCGTGGGGTCCATTGAGCAGGGTTGAAAGTTGAAGGCTGCTTTGGGAAGCGGGCCGCAGATAGGGCTGCTTGGCAGAAAGTTCCTTTGTTCGACCCTACTACACACAGTTGTCCCCGTGGTCCGGGAGCTTCATGCCTCCTGGACTCATTCTCCCAAAAAGCCTGGGAATGGGGGTGCACATTCACTACCGGAGCATGCACCTGACCTGTTTGAGGACTCCCCCGATCATTAAAACTTAACATTATGTGTAGAACCCATGGGATTATCCCAAGGCCAACACCCATGGAAGGTCCCATCCTGGTCAAGAAATAGATGAGTCTGGGGGCCCCAGAGGCCCCCCCCACCCATGGGACAGCAAGGTTCGTGGTTCACATTTGGCTTCCACATACTGCTGAGCGTGAGATTCAGAGGGCCAGAGGTTTGTCAGGATCACTTGGTGAGCCAAGTGCACAGAAGGGACATGACAACTCAGATCTGGCATCAGAACCAATAGTCCCTGCTTTGACCCTCTTAATCTCTCTCGCCCCTGTGTGTCCTGTGCCCCAACGGAATGCCTCCTCCCCCTGCCCCCAAGCTCTGTCCTGATCTTTGAATTCTTCAGAGCCCATCCACATCTTTAGAGGAGGCATCCCCCCGCCCCCTCGAAACCCGTCTTGTGTCCCAAGACCTGGGCTTCTCTCACCCCAAGGCCACTCAGTCAAGATTAGCTCACTCCCAGTGAATTCTCAGACTCTAGCCAGACCTTCAGCCAAATGGAAAACTAAGGGAGAAGTGGGGTGATGGGAGCAAGGGGAGGAGGCCCTCGGAGTTCTCTGTTGGCTAAAGGTCTCGGGCATCACGGATCGGAATTAGCTTGCACTTTTAAAATCCGCAAACCCAACTAGGCGCCTTAATTGTCGAAGGATGTCTGGGTGATCCAGATGTTGCCTGGATGAGGGCACCGGGTGAGGATGAGCACCTCTGAAAATGGAGATCCCTCAAACCTCCCCCGCTCTGCGGTTATTGGAGAGTAATAAAATAGAGCCGTTCCTGGTGTTTCTAAATGAGAGGACTTAATTTGAATAGGAAGTTAACTACGGGCCTTTTCCCGAATATATAGCAGTAATTACAATACAAGCCCCTGAGTCCTTAATACACCAGCATCTGAGAACCTGGGAAGGGTGTGGAAGGCATTAGTGGGTCAGGATCTTGGGGGGGTTTTGTACTCTGCTGGCACCTGAGTGCCTGGCATTGACAAAACTCCTCTCCCCTAACTCTGCTCCTGTTGGATTTCTGGAAACTAGGCAGTCAGGCCTCTTAAGTTTTTCTGAGGCCACCAGCAGAGGGGTCTGAGCTAATTGCTCCCTTGAGTGTAGGGGTGGCCCAAAGTTTTCACTTGTCCTCTTGTGTCTGCCGTCTATGTCTGGGAAGGACACCACTCTGCTCCCCGTGCACACAGGACCCCACCCTTCCAGCCCAGGAGTCCAGTCTGGCTTCCTGTGTGAGCCCCCCCAGTCCCCAGAACCCGTAGGTCTCACCACCCTGCATTAAATGGATCCCGGAGGCCCTAGAGCTCTAGGAAAAAGTGGCTTCACCAGGTGGGAGAGCAGAGAATGCGAGAGGCCAGGAGACGCCCCCATCCCACAATTCTGCATTTCTGTTTTTCTGCTTTTACTGCCCACCTCTGTTCTCCACTCCCTTCTTCCTCTCTTCCCTTCATCACCGTTTCCTGATCCGGTCCTCTGGGGGTGCCCTAGGCCAGCCCACGCCTCCTCTGGGTGCCCCAGCCTCAGCCTGGCACAAAAGTGGGGTTCAGTAAGAGTATGTGGGATGTCTGTTTGGACAGGTGAGTCAATGAAGGAACCGCCATACTTGTGATGCTAGATGGGAGTCTTTGGGAACCGAGGAGTTTTAGGCAAACGGGTGGAAGGTGGATTTCATTTCACTGAGGGGGAGTGGGCATCGCCCCACCCCCAGCCCCATTTCTGCTGGGCTTTGCTGGTCCTGCCCCTTCATTCACTCAGGCGTCCATCCCGTCATCCAACAGTTGATCCTTACTGAGCGAAACCCCTGGTCCGGCCCCGGCTTGGCCCCGCTTCCCTTAGCGCGTCCCTTGATGGTCTCTGCCTCCCCAGGAGGGCCGGCCGGGGGGTTGCTTCTGCTGAGGCCGGCCTCGGGCTGCCTCAGGCGCTGGAGCAGTGGCCTCCGGCTCTGGAGAAGGCCGGCAGAAGGGTGTGAGGGGTAGGCCCTGGTCTGCCTGTCTGGGGCCAGTTGGCCCCCCGCGACCTTTAAGCCCTGGAGGACACTTGAACCCGCCCAGCTCCAGGGCTGTGCCCCCCTCCTGCCCTCTCTGCCTCCCACCCCCCGTCCCGTAGCTGAGTGCTGATGGCTGCCCTGACCCCTGCCTGCAGCTCAGGACTGAGGTGGGAGCACGGGGACAGCTGTGGTGTGTGTGCCCCTCCGGCTCCGGCCACTCGGGTCTCCCTCTTGAGTTGGGGTCTGCGAGTTGGACCTCTCCCTCCGTGATGCCTTCCTGCCCCTGGGGCTAAATCTAGCCCCTGTGCAGCCCAGGTGTTGGCTGGGAACCTCCAGGGAGCTCTGCAGGCTCTTGCCTCTGCCTGGTTGCCTACCTGTTCCGCTCTGTCTGGTGGCCAGCTTGACCCACCTGGAGCTCTGCTTGCCACAGTCTGTCTGTCGCCTGGCCTGACCCACTTGGCCCTTCTCTGTGACCCAATCACGGGGCTCGGGACCCTCTGGGCCTCAGCTGTCCAGCCCTCTGCCTAGCAGGTTGATTTTCCTTGCTGAGCCCACACCTGTGGCTACCTGGCCCTGTCGGCTTCCTCGTCCACCTTCTGCCTGCTTGTCTCTTGGCCTCTTATTGGTCCTAACTACCCCTTCCCCGGCCTAAGGAGCCCCTTCAAGCCCTATGCGGCCCAAGAACCAGTCCCCGGTGCCCCTGGGACAGGTTCCTGCTGGCATGCCACCTCCTCCAACCATCAGATGCCTCCTCCCTTGGGGGGGCGGGTGGGCGGGCGAAGGGAGGGTTGGAATGACCAGACTTCTATCCTGGCTCCCCCCCCACCACCCCAGTTCTCTTGTCTCGTCCACTGGGTGTTAGCCACAGCCTGTCCCCAGGCCTCACGGCTGGTTTGGGGGCTGCCACCTAGGCCCGTTGCTTCTCCTTCATGTCACTGCTCATCTCCACGAACCACCCTCCACCGAAAACCGTGCTGCAGGTGAGACTGGGCTCTGTGTCTTTCCTTGTGTGTGTGTAGCTCTTCTGCAGTGCTGGCCCGGTGGGAATTCTAATTTCCTGCCTCTCCTGCAGGTCAGCCTTGTCCTCGGCACACTGGCCGTGACCTGGCTGGGTCGGCTGAAGAACCGGATGGAAGAGGCAGAAAGAAGCCCCCGGAGGAGCGCCGCCCTGCACCACCCAGCCTTCCTTGCTGATGGTCACCTGGCATCTCAGCCCTGTGCCTCTTCACTTCTTCCTGCTTTGGGGTGAGTTTCTTGATTTCCTGAGACATTGGAATTTCATTAGCTTCAGCTCACACTCTCTATTCAAGAATGCACACATTTAACCTGGGGAGGGGGCCGCCACCAGGAGACAATCCTCTTCTCCACCAACCATGCGGCCTGGGGGTCTGTCTGCAAGCTGCCTGGAGCCAGGATCGTGGCCACTTGGAGCCAGCCTGCGTGGGGCCCGCTCTGGGCAGTGGCATTCTGTGGCCAAGGCACGGTAAGTGAGGGGTATCCACAACTCCGGCCCCGAGCCCTCGAGAACCAGCTCGGGCCAGGCACACAGTACACACAGTAGGCCCTCAGTGAATTTGCTAAGCACGTGAATGACATACAGAATGGTGCGTTTGCCTTCTCTGGTCTCTGAGGCCTGGCCAGAGGGCCAGTGTGGAGACGTGGAAACAGAGGAGCTTGTCTGTCCATAGAAAACCTTCCTCCCTGAAAGCCATGCTATGTCAGCCCTGGTGACAATGCTGAGTTCCCACACGCGAGGCTCTTTAATCCACAGAGTGGTTTTTGAGTGAGTTCCTCTCTTGGCCCCTTCTCACCCCTGAAATTGCAATGAGACGGGAATGTTTGTGTCTGTTTAAATAAAATCAGTAATGGTAGAGAAGAAGAAAGCGGAGGATCGTCGCCACACAATTCACTCCAGAAAGAGTCATTTGTTTATCTGTGCTTTACTTATTTGAGACGCATGGACAGAGCCATGGGGGCTCAGGGCTGGGCCTCTCTTGGGGTGCCTAAGACCAGCTTTGCCTTAAGGCCCAGAGGGGTCTAGCGGGGTTCTCTGGGGGATCCCACGCAGTGACAGGGCCCATGTGGCAGCTCAGCAAGGTGGATCGGAAGAAAGGATGCTCAGCCGAGGGCACTTGGCCTTTTTAGGGTCCCAGGAGCCGAGTCTCATGAAGGGGTCAGGGGATGTTAGCACCAGCAGCGCAGGAGGCTGGGCTCGCATGTGCCTTGTGTGCCTCCCATCGGATGCTCCCGGGGTAGCCGCTGGGGTCATAAGTGAGGGCAGTTAGACCCCCAGGGTGGTCCAGGTGGGAGATGGGGAGTGGCCCGGTGAGGCTAACTCAGGCCCTCAGACGTTCATGGGGCCTCCGGTAGGTCCCAGCGGAGTCCTTGGGCCAGATGCCAGCGTCCCCCTGGGCACCCACACGTGGGGTCCGTGAGAGGGCCGGCAATGCACAGAACTTCATGCCAGAGCAGGGCCCCCCCCACCCCCAGGTGCCGAAGATCCCCACGCTCCCCTGCCCGGCCCTGGCTTTCTAACTCAGGTTTCATGATGCCCTTTCATCAGACCAAAGTTTCAGAGACAGGTCTTCCGCAGCCCTGCCCTTCTCCGCTGAAAGGGAAATGGGGAGTGGATATTATTTTTAAACAAAACCCGTCAGTGCAGACAGCAAGGGGCAGAGGTATCCGAACCTGGGGACCGTTGTCTTTGCTTGTTTGGGTTCCCTGGAGAGCTAGGCAGGCTGTGGCGAGGCGGGGAGTGTGTGCCCAGGGCTGAATCCAAGGAGGGGCACCAGGAAGGCTCTGCCCTGTGATATTTACTCCAAAGTTGGCATTTGCCGAGCCACCTGCAGGCACAGTGACGTGGCAGAGAGAGGCCTGGGAGGGTAGCTTTACATAGGGCAGGATGCAGGTCTGGGGGGGGCGGGGGGGTCGCATCCGGAGCTTACCAGACAGATCCGTGTAGCTAGTCTGAGCCAGGTGCCCACAGTTTCTGGATTCTTCCTTAGGCACATCTCAGCACTCCCTCCAGGGGCGGCTGAGCTGAGGGGCAGAGTCAAGGTGAAGGCAGGTGCCCAGCCAGCCCCAGACTTGTCACACCCCCCGCCCCTCCTCCTCCACAGTGGTGCAGGACGACGTCTCTTTGGGCCGAGTTCTTTTTCAGGTACACTTGTAAATGTTCAGTCTTGGGCAAATATGTATTTTTGTGTGTCCCACGTATTTGGGGTTTTGTGCATCATTAAGCAGAAAATAAGGACTAGATTAAGTATTCTTCACAACCAAAGAAGTTAAAACATAACATCATAAATCAGCCTTGCAGCCGAACAGCCCAGGCATTATTAAGTGTTGAAAGAAATGAACATTTTCAGGAAAATCCTTTTTTGATGGATTGGCCCATCCCTGAGCAGTGAGGGGGTGGATGGGAGACCCTGACTGGCCAGAGGGCAGAGGGCCCTGTCACCGTGGTGGGAGGGGTTTCTCTGGCCATTTGTCACGTGAGAGACTTCCCCAGGGCCTGCCTCTAGCTGGATGCTTCCAGGAGGGCACAGATGTCAAGGAGGAGATGGTGGTCTTGTCTGGAAGCTGGCGCTCCCGTCCCACAGGCCTCCCCCTTGGGTGGGCGGGAAGTGGAGCCCAGTGGAGCACAGTGGGCTGTGCTCATGCAAAGACCCAAAGTGCCCCCTCTGCCCCGCATTTTCCCACCTGCAGGTTGCTTGGGGGGCTCGTTGCAGCTTTCGGGGGCCCCTGACCTCGTGCCTCCTGACTTGCGATTGAAACCCCAAACGCATTTCCAAGCACATTTTTCCAAATAATGTCAAAACCTGGCAAGTTTAAGGGCAGCGGGATGCATGTGTTTCTTATTCGTTTGCATGAAGTAACTTCAGTGTGTTTTTATGAGCAATCTGACTTCCAGAAAGAGAAAAAAAATCGACCCATCTTTAATGAGCTTGCTAATGAATTTTTCCTTGAAAAGAAGAAGGCAGCTTTACACAGAAGGGGGTGTGGAGGGAGACAAATTAAGGTTCTAAAGGGTTAAAGGGCAGTGGGCGATGTAGAGACCAGCATTGTCAGCTGAATTGAGAGAGGCCTGTGGCTCTGGGGGCAGTTTCTTTTTAGAAGATCCGTGTTTAAACAGTGTAGGTCCCAGGAGTGGTCCCCCTTCCCTCCACTGCTTTGAGCCCTGTCCTCTCTCCTAAAGGGAGAACAAGGAAGCCTTGCCTGGCCTCCCATCTCTGGTTTGAGCAGAAGGAAAATTCTGGAAAAGAGCTGGATCTTGCCATCTCGAGTGTGGGGTTCCCATTTTGAAAGGGAGACACGAAGGTGGGCAGGGAAGGAGGGAAAGCTCTCTCCATGGTGCCTGTCCCAAGGGGGCAGGCCCAGGTCCTGCACAGCTTCGAGAAGCCGGGGCCCTTAGGGAGGTCTGAGGGACGGGCTGTTGTGGGGGCAGCCCTCGGTTCCAGAAAGGCGTGAATTCAGAGAGTCCTTGGGACCCTGTGGGGAGGAGGTCTGCCCTCCAGCGGTGTCCCCTACCGGGCACCCTCCGGGCATTGCAGCAGGACAAGGAGAGGACAGAGCAGCGCCAGCGAGAGAGGTCCCCAAGTTCAGTTCCATCCAGTGGAAGCAGGTGGGAGGCAGTGGGGAACTCCTCATCTGTGCCAGGGGTGACAGGTCCATCTCTGAGGAGCCCCTGTACATCCCAAAACTTCTAGTGCCTTCTGGATTTTAGACGCTTGGTCCCGTATCCTGGTCTTTCTTCACTGTGGAAAAGTGATGGCTCTTGCCATGCTTTTGGGAACTGACCGATGAGAAAGTCTCCAGAAATATCTGTGTTTGTCTTCTCAGCTCCCTTCTCTCCCCCGGACCCCCTCCCCCAGTCCCGGGCTCATGAGGGACCAGGGGACAGAGCAGGTGCTGAGTAGCTGAGGCTGGGGTCGGCCTCACTTGGGATGCGTGTGGGAGGGAATTAATCAGGGGAGAGGGGGCTGGTGGAGGGTGTAGTTGTGGGTCTCTTAATTGCTCTCCAGTTTCTTTGGGCTTAAAAACAATCCAGATGGAGAGTTCTTAAGCCCCCCACCCTGGGGGTCGGGGGAGAGGAAGGCTGCCCACCACCTTTTGCCTGGCTTCTCCGCGCAGTGAATAGGGTCTTTGGCAGGGGCTTAAGGAGGAGACTCTTAGCCTGGGAGCTCCCAGGGCCCGTTTGAGGCCGAACAAAGGCAGAGGCAGAAAGGAATGTGGGGGAGCCCCCCACGGAGCACAGCCACCTGGGGATAATCGGGAGGGCTGAGTGCACATGAGCTTTCCCAGGTCCTGTGAATACATTCTTTCAATAGAAGGTGCCTTTTCTTCAGATGAAAAGGAGAAAAGCTCAATCACCTTCCCTGGAAAGGAGTGTGTGTGTGTTCCCTCCGGGGCCTCGGCGGCCCCTGCCCTTGTGTGTGACGCGCAGACAAGAGGCTGCACAATGACACGGTTAACCAGTCACCCCGTCAGCGCGACCTCGGACATGCTCACGCTCCTTGGTTCTCGGGCTTGCTTTCTGCAAGTTTCTCAGGAGGAAGAATCCTTGCGGCTCGGCCTGTAAACAGGAATGGGATCAAGCCGGGCCTGATGCCCGAGAGACAGCCAGAGAGGCAGATGGGGCCAGGGAGACGGGACTCCCGTCTGGAAAGGAGGGGGACAGGAGGATAGTCAAGGGGCCCAAGGCTGACCACGTGTCTGTGCCATCCGTGTGGGGCCGCAGCTGGGTGGTGGCTCCTTCTGCCTTCTGGCCCCTTCTCTGGGCCGGCCTGACGGAGGAATTAGAGTTGCTCCTACCAGATTAAGAAATTGGGGGCTGGTGTTCGAGGTTAGGGAGGATGATGGAGGTCAGCGTGGCTCACATAGCCAGGGGCAGCCTGGAGCAAGGGGACAAAGCATTTGTGCCCCCCTGGCCCCTCTGGAGCAACTGGGGCAAACATCCCAGCCGTCAGAGGAGGGAGTCCCCGTCTCAGTCTTGGCCAGTGCCCCTCACTGCTAGCTTCTAGGCCTCAGTTTCCCCATCTGTAAATTGAGGCAGTCGCCGGTCAGCTCTGTATATTCCGGAAGGCAGAAGGAGCATGAATGTCAGTTTGGGAAAGACGAGGGCCCTGTTTCACCAGGGGAGGGGGAGGGAAGGCCTCAGGTGCCCAGACTGGGCCCCCACTAGCCTCCTGGCTGGGAGCAGGGCACAACCTCACTACCCAGGACTTGTCGTTCAGAGGAGAGTGTTCTAAATGGGTGCTCTGGGCACAGGGTCAAGCAGCAACCCTAGAATGGCCTTTAGGAGACCTGGTACCAGCCCACACTCAGCCTCAACCCGGGGTGTGATCTTGGATCCTATCTCTAGCCTTCTTGGCCTCAGTTTTCCCATCTGTAACATGGGACAGTACAGGATCACGGTCGTCTGAGAGCCCTCGCAGCTCTGGCTTCCTTCTGGCTGCCTCAGTGGTCCTCTGTGGTTTGTTTGTTTGCTGGGTCTTTAGAGCCAGAGGGTGGGAGATCGGTGGTCCCCTGCCATCCCATCCTCTCTGCTTCAGAGAGGAAATAGGGAGCACAGAAGGCTGGTTTGCCTCCTTCCCACCAACCCCCAGGATAGCAGGCCCCGGGCCTGAAGCCCACTGCTGGCGGCTGGCCTCCACTTGACCAGCATGGGCAATGGGGTCACCATCATTAGCTGGTCCCCACAGTCAGGTTTTTGTGAACATGATCCTGATAGCGCTCACGCCTCAGGCTAGCTCCCAGGGACTGCCCGCGTACTTCGGGGCCAGGATGGCATTTTATAGAGCATTTTTCCAAATGGGTGGGCCACCGGCCAGGCCTGGAAAACCTTTCTGGGCTGCGGAGTGGTCAGTGTGTAATGAGACGAGCCTCATGGCAGCGGGCCCGGCAGGGTGTGCCCTCACTCCCCCGTGGCTTGCCGCGCACTTTTTGGTCACGAGACCTGGGGTGACACCTCTGTTGGTGCCCTTGCCCGCTTGGCCGAGAATTTCCTGAAAAGCCCATCAGGGTGGTGACTTCTGGAAAAGTGATCAGTAACCAGGCCCATGCCAGCTGCCTGTCCCAGACCCAGCTGAGAAGACACTTCCAGTGATCTCTTTGCGCCTCCGCGTGTGATGGTAAATAAGCTCACAGAGCCCTCTGGGGTGCCGCACCCCGTTCTTGCCACGGTGGGCTGCAGCCTTTGTTTCCCGACCTTGGTTCCTATAATACCTGGGAGCTGAAATGAGGAATCGAAAAAATTGCCAGCCTCAATTAGACCAGCGACTGCCTTTTCCGAGGCTGCCTCCGCCACTCCAGCCATTAACCGTAAACATACACCAAATAGGCCCTAATTCTCTCTAATTGCCCACTCCTGAAGCACAGAGTGAGGTTCCAGGAAGAGGCATATGTAAACATCCTCCATGGCCCGGCCAACTGAAATTAGAGGGCTGATGGGGGCCGGCGAGAGAGGGGACGCGATTTCAAAAGATGTCCCAATTACCTCTCCCATTTTCATAAATAGGTCCATAATGTCCAGGCCCCGGTCTTCACAAAGGTACAGGAAATTAGCTTTGCAAAGAGCCTGCGTTTGTAAAGGGGAAGTTGTAGGAGGGTGGTCTTTCCTCAACAGGTAGGAAGCATGAGATCTGAGGCGAGGCTGATTATTTGTATAAACTGCGGGCTCTATTTCTGGAAATCACCATTTTATTGAAAATAATCCTTTCGTGTCTCGCCCTGCACTAAACATCCATAAGGTATTTGTACCAAAGGCATGTCAGATCCGTTAGGTCCTGTTGGCCTCTAGGAAAGAGTAACTTTAAACATCTTGAGATGAAGAGCTAGACTTTCCTAATCCTGTTAAGCCAGGGAGGATGTTTTTGATGCACCCACCGATGCTTCCTACGGGGATGGTGAGCCCAGGGCAGGCATTTATGAGGTCTGGGATCAGATGCTGGTGGCAGTTGTTCTGCTGGACCCCGTAAGGAGGCCTTGTGTTTCCTTTGGTTCCAGACAGTGACTCATCTCTGCAGCTTCTCTGACATCTGTTAGAATTCCAGCCTGGCGCTGCGTTGTCATACATCACGGCAAACCCGGGGCTGGTACACGCAGCTTTGAAACCAAGGCACGACTTTGCCAGGGCTGCCTCTTCACAGAGCAGCCTGGGGTCTGCGTGAAAGTTAATCGAGGGTAGTCAGGAGCTGCGGGGGCTCATGGAGCCCCAGAAGTAGGAAAAACACCCCCCACAGATGCCCCAAGCTACCCGATTTCTATGGTCCTATTAAATACACCAAAGCTTTTGGGGGCTGGCTCTTACTCCCAAGAAAAGTGGCAGTGCCTGGGGTCTTGCTGTGTGTTCAGGGTCTGGAGTCCCATTGTCACCTTAGGACAGTGGTAAAGACAGGAGGGCCACCCTAGGCTCCTGGGGAGGGCTGGAAACGATCTCAGGTGGTATCCAGCTCAAAATGGGGTGGGGGGTGCCCCTAGAACTTGTACATCACCAGAGTCTGCCTTTCAGTCATCCACTGGCTTGTAACTGTTCGGCTAACATCCATTTTTTCTAAGGACTTGTTTTTTTGATTATAAAATCAACCGGTTAGGGAAAAACAGTGTTGGGGAGGCTGAAGGCCAGGGGAGGGATTTTTTTTTTTTAGGAGGATTTAGAAGTAAGAGGTGTACCCCTCTGTGTCCCGACCGAGTGGGTGCAGTGATGCGTGCTCCTGGGAGTAGGGAGGCATAGACAGTGGAGGGGATCCCACAGGGCTTAAGTCAGGGCAGGGGGAGTCGCAGAGGGCCTCTTCCTACCTTGGGGCTCCCTGCCTGTACCCTCTCTTGCCCTGACCTCTGGTCCTGCCCTCACCTACCTCACAGGGCTGTTCAGACCTCACCTACTTACCTTCAGAGACTCTACCCAACGTGTGTTCAAGATCAACTCACTTATAAAAATGTGTTTTGTTTCAACAAATAGACTTTTATCCCCGCCCCTGAGCAGCCTCAGGTTTATGGAAAAAGTGAACGGCAAGTACGGAGAATTCCTCTACCTGCCCCTGTCCCCAGTTTCTCCTATGATTAACAGCTTGCGTTTGTTGTGGCCCATCTGTTAAAACCCATCAGCCGATTGCTAATAATGTCGTTATTAACGAAAGTCTGGTGCTTAGGTCATTGGGTCCACTCTTGGTCTTGTACAGCCTGTGTGTTTTGATGGATATGTGGTAACATGGATCTACCTTACTGAACTCACTTTTTTTTTTTTTTTTTAACTCTAAGCCAAATGCCTGAAACCAAAGGTTTGGTGTGTCTGGCCATAGCTTTTTTAGGGTGCTGATTAAAATGTGCACATAATTATCAAAGCGCAGGTATCTCTCCAGGCACCACGTTCTTCTATCTTGTGACGTGTGCACCATGGTTTTAGGACACGCTGTCCATTAAATATCCCGCAGCCCATGGCCCACAGCCCACCCCACGCTCACACTCCGCCCCACTGGCTCCTACCTGAGTATGTGCTGTGCCTCAGCAGTGCCCTTCCTCCATGGGGGGATGCCCTTCCGGGGGGTCTTCCCCCCACCCTTTCGGTGTCCAGCTCAGCTGTCACTCATGCAGTGGCTCTAAGTCTTTGGGAGCCACAAAACAGCACTTAGCTCCATGTTTAGCACTTAGCCAAGGGCTCTGGGTCAGGAGCCACGTTCCTGCCTCTCTCCCTGCCCCCATCCACTCCCTACGTAGTTGAAGCTGGGGTGGGGAGCTTGGTGGGTGAGTGAGCATGCAAGCCAGTGTACGGAAGAGAGAAATGCTTGATTTCACCAGTTGCACCCTTGCTAGAAGTTGAGGAGTCCCTGCCCTAGTTGGGTGAGGTTCCATGCCAGTGACCCAGTGCTTTGTCATTCCAGTTGGAAGACGCCATCTGGAATCCTCCGTGGAAGGAGAGACCTGGACGCACGACTCAGCACCCTCCAGCTTTCAAATCGTAAGTTGCTGGAGTATGGGGAACACATCTGTGGGCTCGTCACTGAGGGTGGGGGGTGCCACCCAGGACACACTGCCGGGCGAGCCCTGTGGGAGGGAACGGCCAGCACTGGCCAGCGGTCTGCTCACGGGGAGGTGGGTGCCCAGCGAGCTAAACTGATTGCGGACCTGGGGGGCTTGTGTTCTAAGACAGGACCCCCAGCCTCCTTGTGTTGTCTCTGTGGCAAAAGAATTCTATAGGCGGCTTCGAGTGCCGGACCCCCCAAAGAATTCCTTCTCTCTCGCTCCTCTAAATGAATGGCCCTTTCATTATTGAGTGTCCCTTTGGCTCTTGTGCCCCAGGGCAGACTAGGATGGAAGTGCCCTTGTGAGCTGGGGGGCCCTTCAAAGGGCCAAGGAAAAAACGCGGGCCGAGGGACCAGCCTCTCAAACGGGCTTCGAGCTCCAATGACCTTCGCTCACCCCCTTGAAATGTCTGGAAAACAGAATGGGCAGATTTTCTGTCTTCAAAGTTTCCGGCTAAACCTCTTCAAGTTCTTTATTGTTTGGGACTGAGACACTCAGCAATGGTAATGGGTAGTTTCTTTTGTATTTGCCTTGAAAGGCCAAAATATTTTCATATTGCTACAGACAAAGCCGTCTATTTAGAAATGAACGCCATGTCTGTCGTTTCCCACTGGGGAGACTGTGTACAACGTGTGTGTGTCTCTGTGTACTCTAGGGTCTTGAAACAGGTTTCTCATGGGGATGGCCATTCACCGGGGTCCGGGGGAAGCGCCTGCCCTGCCAAGGGAGTCTGGGGGAGCCCAGCCCTAACTGCACATCTGTCCCGGTTTGTTTAGGGCGTGAGCCCCGGGAGGGTCTGGCTGCACTGACATTCACTGTGCCTGCATCTGCCATGTGTATACGTTAAGGACCGTAGGTTGTGCCTTGGTGGTCAGCTTGGTGGGAGGAAGCAGAAAGGTCTAAGGTACTGTGGATGTTCTGTTTTTCTTGTTGGGAAGGTCATTTTACTGGTATCTATTACATGATCCAAATAATGGACCATGGATGGATGAACGAAGGCACAAAGAAGTGGAGCAACAGATAGATAGGTAAGGAGGTGGGCAAGCCAGGATGAGACCACAGTGAACAAGATCCCGTTTGATGGCCAGGAGATTGGTCTATAAATCAATAAAACATTGAATCACTGTGTAAAGAGAGCCACACATGAGCCAATACTCAGTCAGCATGCACCAAGGAATACGTGTAAGGCAGATAGATAGTGCCTGAAGTTTACCAATAAAACAATAAAATGTAAATAGAAGAGAGCATGACCAAGGGGTGGAAATGCAGAGGCCAGTAGCAACAGTACCCATGTCGTGTGCTTACACAATTTCTAGGAGGCTAGATCTTCTGTGAAGTGTTTGGATCATAAATGATAGCCATGATAATGATCCTTTGGTGGGGAGGAAACTTCTCGAGGTGACGGATAGGTGTATGAGAAGGATCTCGGTGATGGGTTCATGGAGCACGCTTCTCTCCAGACTCATCAGGTCCTGTATGTTAATTATGTACAGCCTTTTATGTGTCAGAACACAATTAAAATTAAAAAGCGTAAGGAGAAGGTCACTGAAAGAACTCCCAAAGCACTGGTGAAAACGAGAGGATGAGTCCCATCAAAATGAGCAGGTGCGAGAGCGAGCGAGCAGGCGATTGGGAGGGAGAGAGAACAGGGCAAAACACAAACAGTAAATAAAAGGAAGAATGATAATTTTCTTAATTTAGGGGATGCACAAATATATAAGGAGGACTATGTTAGGTGATCGTAAACCAGGCATTATGACGAGTCTACAGGTGTGCTCTTGGCATAGACAAATAAATAAGCAGCAAGGACTTCAAAGAATAGGTAAAAAAAAAAAAGATAGAGAGAGGACCCAAGACACCATGGAAGAGAGTTAACCCTTACCAAAACATTTTCTAATTACAGGCATTTGTAAATAAATAAATAACAAAGCGAAAGAAAGCCAAAGAGAGGCACAGTGAGCGCCCAGAACTGGATGGGAACATGGCACGAGGGGCTTGTGTCCCCCAGTCCCGGGAGCCGAGTGTGTCCCATGAAAAGATAAAAGAAAAAAGAGAATAAAATAAAATATCCAAATAAAAAGCAAGAAGCACGAGAGGAAAAGTAACAGGTAGCAGCAGATCCAGAGATAAGTGAACGGGTGAGTCAATATATACAGGTAGACAGTGGTGGGATTAGTGGGAAGGCTGTCATGCAGCAAAGGTTACGGTTAGTCCAATTCTACAAGCCATGGTGCTATCGATAAAATAAGTCTCTAAATTAACAAGTAAATCAGCATCCAGAGAAACAGATGGGGTGGAGTGAAGGGGAGCCAACGCGCCCAATGGGTGTTGGCAGGGTTGTTATTAATCGTAACGGCACCGTAGCGCCCTGAGAAGGAAGGCAGGCGAGTGAAGGGGAGAAGCAAAGCTGCCGCCCGCAGGAGAGAAGGACAGTTACTAGGGTGGTGGCAACTAAATGGATAGATGGGGGCTAAGTGGGAGATCCATGGGAGAGGGTAGGCTCAGACTTCAGGTCATCATGGGTCAAACTCTGAGCACTCACTTCCATTAATAGTAGAGAAAGTAGCCGATAAAAAGGAAGAAAACAGGAAGGAAGAACGGTCTGAAGGAAGGAAGGAAAGAAGGAATGAATAAATGCACCATGGAGTTGCAAGGGTCAGGGATGGCCATTGGGAGGTGACATTGGGATTCATCGGTCTGTGGCAACCAAGTGCCAAAGATCAAGAAAACACAAGAAAGGGGAGAGAGAGGTAGAGATAGAGATAGAGATAGAGAGAGAGAGAGAGAGAAGCATAACTGGCCAGGGGCCGGGGGTGGGGGTTGGGTGACGACAGTTGACTATAGATTACCATGGATCCAGTTAGGTGTCTCTGCCTCCAGAAGCCTAAAAATAGTTACTTAACTCCAGAGAAGGACCAGATGGATGCATGAGTGAAGGAGTGAAGGAGAAAAAAAGGTTTGTGTTAACTGATGAGCAGGTTGCCCGATCTCCCACAGAACGAAAGGCAGTAAGAAAAGATCAAAAAGGGTGGGAGGAAAAAAAAAAATAAAACAACCCAACAATGAAGATGGAGGGGAAAATCAAAATTAAAAAAAAAAAATCTGTAAAAAATAATAAATAAATAGGTCAAGCGATGAAGTCTATGAGAGGGAACTGGCTTAGCACCGATCAAACACATTAATTCAGATCTGGGGCCCCAGAGTTCATCCATGATAAAAACAAGCCCATAAATAAAAGAGCTGCACACGTAGGTAACATGAGAGCGAGGCCCACACCGGAAGCAGGAACACAAGCCCAGAATTACGACTGAATCAAAACCAGGCCCTGGAGATGGTGAAATAAATCCGACACCAAATCACCAGTCCGAAGAATTAACGGACACAAGGGAACCCCAAGTGCGCGGGCGCTGAGAAGGGCCTGGGAACCACAGATGATGGTTAATCCAATTCTGTGCACCTGAGGTCCATAAATAAAAGAATAAATATTGAAATAGATGGGTGACAGGAAGAATGAATGGGTGCAGGAATTACTGAATTAGAAATGGGAATGCCTGGAACGGCCAGGAGAGCGCTGCCCCCGGGGTTGTCACTCCTCTGACTCGGGGCACCTGAGCCCCGCCCCCTCTGGACAGCAAAATGATGCAGGGACCCGGAGACAGAGGCGAGCAGAGGGAGACTAAGTGCACGAGGAAGGGGAGACGAACACCAGAGAGGGGCACCGCGGGGTGGGGGTCGCGGGGGGGGGGGTCCGAAGGAGCAGGCTCTGCTAGGTCGGATCAGCTGTGAGGTCCCAAAGCTCCACCACGACCGACCTGTCCCCATTTCTAGAGTGAAGGATGTGGACAAGGTGGAAAAAGAAGCAAAAGACAAGAAAGGGAAGATAAGAAACATGAAAAACAAAACAACCCCAGTGACAAACTGGTCGTTGGGAGAGCTTGTCGGGACAGGGATTATAATTAGTTTGCATACACTCTCCTTTTTTTTTTTTTTTTTTAAATTTTTATTTATTTATGATAGTCACACAGAGAGAGAGAGAGAGAGAGGCAGAGACACAAGCAGAGGGAGAAGCGGGCTCCATGCACCGGGAGCCCGACGTGGCATTCGATCCCGGGTCTCCAAGATCGCACCCTGGGCCAAAGGCAGGCGCCAAACCGCTGCGCCACCCAGGGATCCCGCATACACTCTCCTTAAAGAGATAAATGCATTACCCCTCTCAGAGAATAAATGAAAAATAAAGGAAATTCCCAGCCCAAAGACAAGGCTGCATTTCCTAGCGCTGTAATAAAACAGATGCAGTTGAGGCCCATAAATGAAAGAATAAATACCTAAAGCGGCCAAGGTGACTGAGGCCCAGGAGGAGGGATGGTGGAGGCGCAAGATGGTGGGTACTAGGTGTGCTGGGGTTGGGGGGGCTTGCCTGACGGGTACCCCCCACCCCCAAACCAGGAAGGGGAAGGAGGGCCCCCAGTGGGGGAGGAGCGGCAGGAAGCCAAGGAAGGTGGGATTTGGGAAGAAATACAAGGAAGGAATAGGGCACAAAAAGGCGAGGCGAGCACATAAATAGGGCTCGTGAAGGGAGGTCTGCAGGACAGGGGCTCTGGTCAGATGGGGGCCGCTCAGCTGTGGGTGCCCATAGATGAGGGGGTCAGGTGGAAAGGGCTGGATGGAAGACGAACAGGAAGGGAGGCAGGGAAAGGAGGGCAGACAGGACGGAAGGGGTTTCTGGGGCCCTGAGTTCCAGAAAGAGAGGCGAGAGGAGGGGTGGCTCTTGGCATGAGGGGTGCTCGGCGCACGCACCTGGCCCGGCAGGGAGGAGCTGGTTCAGGAGACCCTGGCCACGGGGTGCCGCGGCGGTGTCCTGGCTGTGCGGCCCATCCCACCTCATTTCTCTGATCCTCAGTTTACCTATCCGTAAACTTGGAAGCGCATCAGCTT